GATTCTGAGGGCCCAAAGGAAGCCAGAGTAGTCACATGACCCACCATGACCCCCAGGCTCCTGAGTTGCACAATTAACTTCTGACATTGACTAAAGTGACCATTTAAAAGAAAGTGTTGCACCAAGAGTTGCCTGTAGTCACTCGAGTCACTAGACCCCAAGATGTATGAATTACCAATTTCCTTTTTCTAAACAGTATTGACATGTAATTTACATAGCATATAATTCACCTATTTAAAGTGTACAATTCAATGGTTTTTGGTGTATCCACAGAATTATACAGTCATCAGCACAATGAATTTTAGGACATTTTCATTATCCCTCCCAAAACTCCTCCTATCAGCAGTCACTCCTCTCCCGACCCCAGGCCTAGACAACCACTCATCTGTCGATGGATTTTCCTACCCTAGACACTGCATAGAAATGAATCTGACATTATGTGGTCTTTTGTGAGTGACTTCTTTCACTTAGAATAATGTTTTCAAGGTTCACCCATGTTGTAGCATGGATTAGTACTCCATGCCTTTTTACTGATGAATGATATTCTATTCTATGGATATTCTGTTTATCCATTTATAAGTGATGGACATTTGGGTTGTTTCCACTCTTTGGCTCTTACGAATAATTCTTCTGTACACATTCCTGTACAAGTTTTTGTGTAGATATGTTTTCATTTCTCTTGGAGTAGAATCATTAGGTAATAATCCCTCTATGTTTAACCTTTTCAGGAACTACCAGAGTGTTTATCAAAGTTGCTGCACCATTTCACATCCCTGCCAGCGATTTCTCCACCTCTTCATCACTTGTTACCTGCCTTTTTGATTCCAGTCACGCTAGAGGGCATGAAGGGGTACCTCACTGTAGTTTTGATTTGCACTTCCTTGAAGACCAATGATGCCACGCATCTTACTGGCCATTTGTGTATCTTCTTCGGAGAAGTATCTATTCAGATCCTTTGCCCATTTTAGAAATTGGGTTGTCTTTTTATTATTGAGTCATAAGAGTTATTTATGTATTTCTGGATACAAGTCCATTTTTAGATGTATAATTTGCAAATATTTTCTCATTCCATAGATTGTTTTTTCACTTACTTTTTTTTTTTTTTTTGAAATGAAGTCTCACTCTGTCACCCAAGCCGGAGTGCAGTGGCACTCTCTTGGCTCACTGCAACCTCCACCTCCTGGGTTCAAGTGATTCTCCTGCCTCAGCTTCCCGAGTTGCTGGGACTAGAGGTATGTGCCACCATGCCCGGCTTTTTGTATTTTTAGTGGAGATGGGGTTTCACCATGTTGGCCAGTCTGGTCTCAAACTCCTGACCTCAAATGATCCACCCACCTTGACCACCCAAAGTGCCAGGATTACAGGCATGAGCCACGGCACCTGGCCTTAACTTTGATGGTATCTTTTGCAACCACATCTAAGCCTTTGCGGTCATATCTAAGAAACTGTTGCCTAATCCAAGGTTAGATAAATTTACACGTTTACTTCTTTTTTTTTTTTTTGAGACCAAGTCTTGTTCTTGTCACCCAGGTTGGAGTGCAATGGTGTGATCTTGGCTCACTACAACCTTCGTCTCTCAGGTTCAACCGATTCTCCTGCCTCAACCTCTCAAGTAGCTGGAATTATAGGTGCCTGCCACCATGCCTGGCTAATTTTTGTATTTTTAGTAGAGACGGGGTTTCACCATGTTGGCCAGGCTGGTCTTGAATTCCTGACCTCAGGCGATCTGCCTGCCTCAGTCTCCTAAAGTGCTGGGATTACAGGCATAAGCCACTGTGCCTGGCCACCTATGTTTACTTCTAACAGTTTTATAGTTTTAGCTCTTATATTTAGGTTCTTGATCCATTTTGGTTAATTTTTGTACATAGTGTGAGGTAGGGATCCAAGATCATTCTTTTGCATGTGGCTATCCATTTGTCCCAGCATCATTTGTTGAAAAGACTATTCTTTACCCCATTGAGTAGCAGAAATTGTCACCCTTGTCAAAAATTAATTTACCTAAATGTGACAGTTTGTTTTTGTATTCTCAATTCTAGATACATATGAATCAACAGTCAATATTCCATTGATTTCTGTTTATCTAGTACCACAGTATCTGAATTACTGTAGCTTTTCAGTAAGTTTTGAAATAAGGAAATGTGAGAAATCCAACGGTTTTTTTTTTTTTTGAGATGGAGTCTTGCTCTGTTACCCAGGATGGAGTGTAGTGGCGTGATCTCGGCTCATTGCAACCTTTGCCTCCCAGGTTCAGGCGATTCTCCTGCCTCAGCCTCCTAAGCACCTGGGATTACAGGTGCATGCCACCACACCTGGCTAATTTTTCTATTTTTAGTAGAGATGGGGTTTCACCATGTTGGCCAGGCTGGTCTCGAACTCCTGACCTCAAGTGATCCGCCAGCCTCAGCCTCCCAACTGTATTTCTTTTTCAAGATTGTTTTGGCTATTCTGGGTCTCTTGAATTCCACATGAATTTAAGATCAGTTGGCTAATTCGTAACATAGAAACTACCTTGAATTTTGATGGGCATTGCATTTATCACTTTGCTTCATGATGACACTTAAAAATGAATATGCAAGTTCATATTTATGTCATAAAATTTCACTTGAATAGCAATGTAGTCCTAAGTTTTCCTATGAAATAATTAGAAAACTTAAAAGAACATATTCATTTTGGACATCACATATGAACATAGGGTTTCAGTTTGTTTAAAGACTTTATTTACAACAGATGTCACAGCATGTTAGTCATAAAAATCATCAGAATCATCGGTGTTATGGTTTCTAGGGCGTAAAGCAGCCTCAATTTCTGAGTTACTGTCGTCAGACTCATCCCAGAGGGCTGGAAAATAAAACCAGACAGTCATTTAACATTTCTGCACTCTGATTAAGAGCTTACAAAACAGCAGAGCATGGAAGGACTGGTTAAGCGGAGTGTTGGTCTGCAAAATGCCTAACAGGGACACCACGTGATGTACCTGACCAGACACACCCAAATGCATGTCACACTGCACAAATTACACAAAGTGTGTCCTATGCACTGTTATGGAAAACAATTTGCAGAATACTTCCTTTTCCCTTCTGTTGTGCCCAACTCTTTATTACAGGATAGGGATTTAAAGTCAGGGTTACATGGAAGCAGAGTTCCCTGGTGTGCTGTATCAGCCTGATGCCGCCCCACCTCAGCTGTCCCTCCACTTTTATCTCCCATTCTTCTTTATGAGAGTAGAGAGGAGAAGGGAAAGACGTGACAGAGGAATAAGCAGAGATGGTTAGCCTGAGACAGGGCTTTGGTTCACATCGTTTACTTGAGAGGTGAACCCAGGAACCATGGAGACAGTGTAACAAGGAAGACAGGAAGCCAATGAAGGGTATGATGAGTGGGTGCCTGGCAGTGAGTGGGCAGGCAGGGCTCAGCCTGCTGGGGCCCCCTGAGAGACTGCAGAACTCTCCCCAAGGTTGTCCCAGTGAAGAGCAAGGGAGCGGGGTTACTGATCCACCAACTTGCCTCTGTTGGTTGAGGGTTGCTCTCAACCCAGGGCATCAATTCCGTGGTACTCTGGGCTGCCTTGTGAGGGCTGAGCATGCTCCTGCAGCCAGAGAAAGCCCTCAGGCAGAGAGACACAGCTGCTTGGTGCAGGAAGCTGTGGGCGTTGTGAATTGGAGCTGAGGTGCCGTGTGGGTGGTCTGGCAGGATGTGGTGGTGGAGTGCACCCTGTCTACCGCATCAACAATCCCCTAACTCTGCGGACACCCGCATGGCAACACCTGCCAGCTCTGTGCTGACTTCTCATATGCGACCCGATCTCATCCTCACACCAGTCTGGCAAGGTAAGTATTAATGTTTCCATTTCACTGAGCAAACAAATGGGCGCTGAGGGGGTTAAGAAATTGGCCACAATCACTGCCTGTGAGTAGCCAAGCTGGGAGTCCCACCCAAGTCATCTGACTCAAGCCCGTACTCTCCATCACAACCCACTGGGTACTTGTCTCCCCCACAGTAGGTAGCTGTCCTTCTAGAAGAGTGATTCACACTGGGGTGCTTGCTAAAAATGCAGATTCCTAGGCCTAGGTTCTACAGCAGCTCTGAATTAGTTTCCACGCTGCGTTAGCAAAGTGGGTGCTAAATAAATAGTAGGTATTTTTGTTATTGGCAGTAAAACTATTAATCGAATTATACCTTTAATTTAAGGTATAAGCAGTTTAAGAAGATAGGAGCTGAGAGAGCCCAAGCTGGGCAGGGGATATGCCACAGTGTTAGGGTAGAAGGAAGGCTAGATTTTTCCTGTGAGCTGAGGGTTGAAGGATGAATAGGAGCTCACTGGGCTGAGGAGAAGGAAAAGGAACTCCCTAGAGAAGGAACACCACGGGCAAAGGTACAGAGGCATAGGTGTGGTACAGCTGAAAAAAGCTGACTGTGGCTTGACCCAAACAGGGGACCTTGGGAGGAATAAGCTGGAGAGCAAAGCTGAGGCCTCCCAGGAATGGAGAAAGCTCAGACTACACTGCAGGCACGGGGAGGCATCGGCAGTCCTTACACAGGAAGGTCGGGGGAAGCCAGGGTCTGGAGGCTGGTGGCCAGGTGAAGGACAGTCAAGAGCTGGGAGGAACTCGGTATGAGGAAACCAGTTAGAGTTACTCCAAGAGCCTGTCCAGTCACGAGCAATGGGTGCTTCCGAGGATGGGGAGAGTCAAGAAACATTTTATTGGTAAAATACATGGTGCCGATAATTAATTAGACCTGGAGGCCAGGATGCCCTGCAAATTCATACTTGCAAATTACAATGCTCTGCCCCTGAGGTCCATGGCACCTGTGTGGTCCTGTCTGTGAAGAACGGAGCCTCCAGAAGCCCTCAGGCTCCACCCCAGGGAGAACTGCAATGGCAGTCCCTGTGAGCATGCCCGCTTCAGGACTCACATGAGGGTGTAAACAACAAATGCATGTCACAGAGTTTTTTGGTTAAAACACAAAAAGAAAATCTGTTGTCCGATTATCTCTCTTACCATTAGATTTTAACTTGATCATGGGTTTCTTTTTGTTTTCATGCCTGCAAAATAAAGAAACAGTCTAAGTTCTGGAAAAAAAAAAAAAAAGACAATGAAACTAGTATTTTCATAATGAATGCATTAGAGAAGGAGCACTTTGATTCACTGGAGGCCAGAACTTTACACTTACTTCCCAGAGTTTAAAAGTAAAGGGAAAATATCGGGATGCAGCGTGGCCTTGCTGGGAGGGTCGCTACTCAACAGCATTGCTCCCGTCCTGGGTGTGTCCCCTCAGCAGGTCTGCATGGCCCACCCCGCGCTGCTGAGCTGTGCCTGTGTAGGGCCATGTGTTCTTGGGGGAGGATGATCGCATGGGCCCCTGAGGCAGAGGACCGGTTTCCCTCAACAGTCTTCTGGAAGACACTGATGCATGAAGCTTTAGTGCTTTCAGGCAAGCTAAAAATGAAACACCGACAGTAGGGAATTCAGGATGTTGGTAAGGAAGTTAAAATACTGAGTCAAACCAGTGGCAGCAATACTAACAGCCTAAGGAAGGAGTTCAACACAAACACCTGGTAGAGGGCACTGCAAGTGTCATACAAATGCTAGTGTTCATGGCATCCAGGACCGAGTGACTTCTCGACTGAGGCCAATATGGCAAGAAAACTGGCTCCACAGGACATGATTTCTCTGTGTGCCTTTTCAGGAGTTTTCGCAATTTTAATGAATTTAAAAGTCTCCCCAGGGAGCAGCGCTCGAATGTTTTATGATGCTGAGATTTTTTAAGAATTGCCTGAATGGTCACAGGAGATGTTGGTAGAGAAACCATTCTTGGTGCATAGTTTGACGCTTTGCCCTACCCCACGTACCACCACTGCCCTTCTCAAGGCCAGGGCCTTGCTCTTCTGACAAAGGAAACCCTGCAAATATCTTTTCCTTCCCTTTGGGCCAAGTCTGGTTGACCTTTGGCTTAAAAATCTACCTTTTGCTATAATTTACTGTTTTTTCAGAACAACATGCTTCGCTAATGTATCGTTTTCTAGGCTATCTTTCAGTGTTCCCTTTAAATTTAGTGCCTGTTTCTTTAATTGCCATGACTGAGTAGCACTCACAGCCATTTCTCCATGAAGCATGGAAGACTCCTACGAACATCTGGAAAGGCCAGCAGCTGACTGACAGTCCTGGAGCTGCCAGGATTGTGGGGACCTGCCAGTGAGGTGAGCCTGAAAGAACCCGTTTTACAGAAAGTGACACACACATCACACACACACTAAATGCAACCGCAGGGATGTCTATTATTTCCCCACCTCCCGCTATCTGAGGACACTGGGCTAGGTGCTGCAGGAGAGGGTGGATTATAAAAATGCTAGGAGGGGTGGAAAGAGGCTAATTTGCCAGCCACGGTCCATATAAGAAGAGCCACAGGGGGAACAGGAGAAATCTTTGCCAGCTGGGAGGACGAGGGCACTGTGGCAGGCAATCGGGGGAGCTGCAGGACCACAGAGGAAGCCAGGCACCTCCAAAGGCAGAGGCCTTCACAGGCCAGGACTGAAGAACAAGGTGTGGCAGCAGGGAGCCCCTGACACAGAGCTGAGGCCTGTGTCCACTGAGGACACAGTGGCAGGTGAGCTCAGCTCCATCTCAGCAAATGGTACCCCCGACCCACTAGTCCCCCCAAGCCCCTCTCCAGTCTCCACTCCTCCTTCCTCCACACCCAGTCTGGCCCTCGGTCCTGCCAATTCCCCCACCTCCCCACAATACTTCCTGCAGTCCTCGCCAGTTCCCTGGGCACTGCCAGCACACTGGGCAATAAAACTATCAGCTCTTGTTTCTTTCTCTGCAACGACTTCCTAACTAGTGACACACACTCATCTTGTCCCCTACAATCCATTTCCCACTAGGCAATGAGAGTGAGCTTTCTGAAATGCAAATCTGGTCACTCCACTTCCTTGCTTAAAATTCTTCAATGCCTTTCCACTGATTTCTGCACAAAGACCTAAATCTCAAGCAGTGCCTCCAAGGTGGATCCCCCAGGAGTGTCGTGCTGTCCTCCTGGAGTCTTCCCACTTCTGACTCCCTATCTTCACCACTGAGTCCTCGTCAAGTTGCTGTTTCACATCCACTTGTGCAGCGAACAGATGTGCCACTCCTCCCCCTCTGAACTGCAAGCTCCATGCGGGCAGTGACCACAGCTGTTTCAGCTCACCTGGGTAACGCGGTGCACAGCACTTAACAGGTGTTTAGTATGTTTACTTGGAATGAACAAGTGAACCTCACTAAGCATAGGGCCCTGCTTAAAGGCATTTGATCAATATTCAATTACATAATACTTAATTTACATATTTCTATTTAATATTGCACTTCAGAATCAAGTTTAAGTTTCTTTGGCTTCCCTGCTGGCAAAGAAAAAATAAAAATAAAAACCCAGAAAAGCTAAAGGGGGGGAAAAAAAAAGGAAAAAGTCATGCACAAGGCTGTAAACACAAACAACATGAGAACCATCTATGCGCGTGTGTGTTAGTTGTCACTTAACTCATCAAAAGCAATCAGCCAGCAACGCTCAGTCCCACCACGGAGGTGACCCACTGAGCATTTCAGGGACCTCGCTTCTGCATGTGGCACTCTAGGAAAAAATGATTTCCTGAAGCCATGTCTCTATGAGGCCACTTGAACTTGCTTTTTCTGTTTGTCCTGTGGTTACACAGTGTGGCTTTGAGAACATTTAAGCCACAGGGAGCCAGTAAACATCCCAGTGAAATGTGAATTAATTGTGTAATGGTTCTTAATTGTCTGTGTTACTGGTTTTCTCACAGGAAACATGTTTCAGAGCTAAATGTGCGTGGTGCATGGTCTACCCACGGAGACAGGCAGAGCGTGCTTTTCAGTGTTTTGTTCTCCACTCTCGTATCTAAGAGGCAATTATTTTTCCTTTCGGGAAAATCTCTGAAAGTCAATGTGACCCTGCAATTCATAGTTGATTTTTTATTATACAGAATTCTTAGGGTCAACATTTTTTTTCTCTAGGTCATGCCTAATATGTAAAGCTAAGGCAAGGCTGATGGAGAAGCCTGAGAACTTTCTATGGTGTGCTGGACAGAGCCAACTACTTTGGCTACTAGAGTAGATGAAAGAAAAACAAAACTGCAAAACTGCATTTCAGAAAGTAAAAGAAATCAAAGAGTCATGTTTGTAGGCCATGGGATACGGTCACCATGTGGTCTTATGTGCTCGGAATCTAACTGCTGAATCTTTGCTGAGAGTGTAGAAGTAAAGTTTTCATCTTGTAAGGCAGAGGTTTTCTGTAAAGAACCAGAGAGTAAATAGTTCAGGCTTTGTGGGCCATACGGTCTGCCACAACTACTCAACTGTGTTTGTAGCATGAAAACAGCCATGGACAATTTGTAAACTAAAAGATGTGGCTGTATTCCAACTAAACTTCATGTATAGACACTGAGATTTGAATTTCATATAACTTTCACATGTCATGAAACATTATTCTTTCAATTTTCATCCAACCATTTAAAATGTGAAAACCACTCTTAGCTTGCGGGCTGTATGGACCCAGGCAGGGGCCTGGGCATGGCCCAAGGGCCATTACTGCTGTAAAGAATTGCCTCACATGAGGCCCATGCTGCAGGTCAGAGAGCCTGCCTTTCCCCGCACCGTGGCTCAGGGCGACTCTTGGAACCGCGGAGGGTAGACTTGGTATTTTTTCCCTAGAAGTTTACAACTGGACTGGAGGTCCTACTTCAAAATAAACCATTTTCAGCAAGACACTGCAGATGATTAACTGAGTAAACTAAAATATAACCATGTTCCACTCTTCTCATTTGAATGGGACAATTGGCTGGGTGTTGTGGCTTACGCCTGTAAGCCCAGCACTTTGGGAGGCTGAGGCGGGTGATCGTCTGAGGTCAGGGGTTCGAGATCGGCCTGGTCAACATGGTGAAACTCTGTCTCTACTAATAATACAAAAATTAGCCAGGCATGGTGGTACATGCCTGTAATCCCAGCTACTCAGGAGGCTGCGGCAGGAGAATCGCTTGAACCTGGGAGGCAGAGGTTGCCGTGAGCTGAAATCACGCCACTGCACTCTAGCCTGGGTGACAGAGCGAGACATCGTCTCAAAAAAATTTAATTAATTAGTTTTAATTAATTAAAAAATAATGGGACAATTATCTCTGCAGAATTTCCCAGTAGCTTTGGTCATTTTTTCTCCCAGCTGTGCCAGGAATGCCCCATTCCCATTAGGGAGGTGCTCACTTGCCGTTCTGCTGTGCTGACTTCACCACATCTCCCCCTCTACCTAGCCCTTAAGCCATCTCATTTTGGATGCATTTTGGTAACTGCTTATAAATTCCCCTGCTATTGATAAACCAGATTAGGCCAATGCTAATCAACGTCACTTTTGTTCTCAACCTTGTTAAACTTAAGAAGTTAGGGCCAGCCAGGACTTCAACAGAACAGGTTTTATCTGAGAGCAGCCCTGGTACACAGTGAACACTCTACACATGGAGTCAGGATGACACAGTGTGCCATGGAAAACAGTAACAATTACGTGTCAGTGGTTCATTTTATATGAACAAAAGGCTAATGTAGCTAGAATTGGTCTACACAGTCAACATCAATATAAAGTTAGATAGTAAGGATGACTGACAACAGTAGGTTTTGCTTTGTGGAGCCAACAAGTAAAGACAAAAATGAGACACGGAATACCCAAGGCCAAGAAACCCACTATTCAATTAGAACACGGCATTCACAGATTATCAATCCAAAGCCTTCACTGGACAGTGGTGGAGCCCAGAGAGGTTGAGAGATGTGTCCTAAGACACACAGAGTGAGCCAGCAGCAGAGCAGAAGTGGAACAAAATGCTCTTCCCAGGACACTCCTACAAATGCACACATTGTAGACACCCGCCCCACGGGGCCTCCTAAGCAGCAGTAAAACAGTAGGGCAAGAAGAACCCTGCCGCAGCATGTGCCTGGCTATGTGATGTGCTTTCAGAAGCTGAGACAGAATCAGCTCTGGGGCCAGACAGACTCTGCTCACTCGTGATCCTGGGCAAGTTCTCTACCTCTTCAAGCACCAGTTTTCTTGTCTGTGGAATGGGGACAGCAATGCCTTCCTGGAAGTGTTCTGAGAAGTTTGCAGACAATCCTGTGAGAGCCTGCAGAAAGCAGACTTCAGTAAGCAGTGCCACTGCACTGTCAGCACATGTGGATCAACAAAAGCATGTGCTCAGTTTGGTGATGAGCAGCCGTGGGTTCTAAGTGGAGGTGATGAGTACTCACGCACAGGGGCCGACGAATGGGAGGTTTGGGGACAGACGGAGAGAAGACAGGCCTGAGATGCATGAAGTTTCTTCCTCGAGGAACCTGACAAGTGGGTGCCCTTGAAATGGGAAGAGACAGGGCAACTGCCTCAGCCAGGCCTTCCAAGAGCAGGGACAGAGCAA